ATACTCCCACCACACATGCAACCGGGGGCTCATCAATTCACTGATGGGACTAACTTTGCTTCTGCTGGAGCCGGTGTTCTCGATGCAGCTCATCCTGGAACGGTATAAGCCCTTGTTTTTCCATGGTGGAAAGTTAGGCTTAAGCGGGAATTAGTAGTTTGATTGTTGTTCTTTTGTTTTGCAGATACATCTGAAGTTGCAGCTTAGCTACTTTAAGGATGTGGAGAAGTCACTGAAACAGAAACTAGGTGATAAAGAGGCCAAGAAGGTGTCGAGGAATGCTGTTTATCTGTTTAGCATTGGAGGGAATGATTACTTCAGCTTTTCCTCTATGAACCGCAAAGCTTCTCAGTCCTCCAAGGGTCAATATGTTAAATCAGTTAATGGCAACTTAACATCTGTGCTCACAGTAAGTAACATTTGTCACAGTTCTAAACTTATTTTGTTAATTCAACTGCACGAGATATATCACATGGGAGGAAGGAAAATCGCATTCCAAAATGCAGGGAAATTGGGTTGCCTACCAATGATAAAATCAGTTGATCCAACACTTGGAAGTGCTTGTTCAGAAGCACCCTCATCACTTGCAAGACTACACAACAGATATCTGGCTGTTATTCTTAAGAAGCTGCAACCCAGTTGCCAGGATTCAAATATTCCATCTTTGATTACTACAATGCAATTGGTGATAGATTTGCTTACCCTTCAAAATATTGTAAGTTATTATGACCTCAACTTTCATCAGCCATGTAATTAATTTTTACTTCCTCTTATATTCCTTAATCATGATCTGTGTTGTAATTTGTTGGCTATGATTTATGTTGTGAAGGATTCAAAGAGCGGAAGGCCGGCTGCTGTGGCAGTGGGACTTACAGAGGAATGAATTGTGGGAAAACAATAAATGGGACACAATCTTTTGAGGTGTGCAGTGATCCTAAAGAATATGTGTGGTTTGTGGTGGACATACTACAGAAAATGCTAATACCCAGCTATCTCAGCTGCTTTGGAATGGAGCACCACCAGTCACAGGGCCTTACAATATGAAACAGTTATCAGTCTTTGATCACTGTATTATCTTATACATGTATTCAGATTAGAGCAGCTGCTTATTTTATTCTTAGAGCACTGCAGCACATTCCATTGATGTTATGTAGTTATGTAGTATGCATTCTCATTGTTTTAATAAAATTATTACATTTTATTGTTATATGTGGAGTTTTATTTAGTAGATTTGGCAGTTTATTTGCAAGAATTAATTGTTCTTGGAGACAACTTTATCAGAAATCTGTACTACTTAGATGCAAATTTTGAGTTAAAACTAGAGAAAACGACTTGTATAAAGATGAGAAGTGTTTGGAGTTTAAACTATGGAAGCTTAGAAGAAGAGTAATTGGGTAGCTAGCACAGTGGAATCCAGACTGTTTATCGGGGAATGACGCAGGAACTGAGGTAATACAAGAGAAAAATAAGATTTATTCCAGGGAAAGCTACTGAAGATTATAGTGGGAAAATAAACATGTCAACAGGAGTTTGTTTAATCTGAGACTGAGACTTTTACATAATTTGTTAAATGAAGATGTGCTTATTCATGTTACAACTTCAACAACAATTAATAGCTCCACAGTCCACCCCACGCGTATTGATGAGATTGGAAGAAACGTTTCACAGCATTGTCAGGATGTTCACATTTATTCATGTGCCTTTGAAGTTTCATAGGTTGACTTCAGACTTGGTGAAAACGACTTTGATAAAGACGAGTCATGTTAGTAATATGCTAGCATAATAGATGGCAAAGTTTTGTCAGGGAAATTTGATTGATTCCAGAGCAAGTTACTGAAGAATTTTATTGAAACTAATCAGACTGCATAATCTGAATAGGCATACAAGATAGTCTAATAATCAAAGATTAAAAAGTTGTTTCATATTGTGAGGCCCTGTGACTGGTGGTGCTCCATTCCAAAGCAGCTTAGCTAGTTGAGTGTTAGCTCTTTCTGTAGTATCCCCACCATCAAACCAAACATATTCTCCAGGATTACTGCATAACTCAAAGGATTGAGTTCCATTTATTGCGTTCCCACAATTCATTCCTCTGTAAGGTCCACTGCCACAGCATGCAGCCTTCCCCTCTTTGAATCCTTCACAACATAAAACCCCGAAAACAAATTACAACACAGATTATGTAAAAATTAATTGCATGTTTAATGAAAGTTGAGGCCATAACTTACCATATTTTGAAGGGTTAGCAAGCAACTCTGTCACCAAGTGCATTGTAGTAATCAAATATTGCATATTTGAATCCTGGGAACTGGGTTGATGGCTTCTTAAGGACAATAGCTAGATATCTGTTGTGTAGTCTTGCTAGTGATGAGGGTTCCTCAGAGCAAGCACTTCCAAGCTTAGGATCAAAAGCTTTCATTCCTGGTAGGCAACCCAATGGCCCTGCATTTTGAAATGCAATTTTCCTCCCTCCTATATTATATATCTCCTGCAGCAAATTTACAACATGAACTCTTAGTTATCATCTTAATATTACAAAATTAAGTTTAAAACTCTGACAAATGACTTACTTTGAGCACAGATGTTAAGTTTCCAATGACTATTTTAACATATTGACCCTTGGAGGACTGAGAAGCTCTGGGGCTTGTCTGAGAAAAGCTGAAGTAATCATTGCCTCCAATGCTAAACAAATAAACCGCATTCCTCAACACCCTATTGGCTTCTGCTTCACCTAGTTTCTGCTTCAGTGATTTCGCCACATCCTTAAAATAGCTTAGCTGCAACCTCAGACGTATCTGCAAAAAAGAGACACAAATAGGTTAAATTTTCTGTTCAGATTATATATATTCCTTAATTTTATACAAAATACAGAAAACAAAGATGCATACAGTTCCAGGATGAGTTTCATCAAGAACTCCAGCTCCAGCAGAAGCAAAGTTTGCCCCATCAGTGAATTGATGAGCACCCGGTTGCAGGTATGGTGCAAGTATAGGCAAATTGGCAAACTGGGCTACAACAATTTAATGAAGTATATGTTATACAACGGAAACATAAACTCTAACGCTAGCTATTGAATATAATAATAACAAGTAGTAAAACATAAATAAATTGCCAAAATTAAATGTAAAATTAAAGAATACCAGGAATTAACGAGGTTCAGTATTAAAACCTACATCCTTGGGCGCTACAAAAGAAAAATCCACTATCTCCAAATAATATTACAAACTCTTGGGCAATACAACAAATACCCAAAACAAAGGGGAGATACAAAAAACTTATAAACTAAAGGGTTCTTAAAGAAAGAACCCTAAACAAAAGAAGTATAACGGAATTACAACTTGGGATGCCTAATAACAATAATTTGGGTCTTTATATATAGGCCTCAAAAGTTTCCTACTTTTCATTACTTTTTAATGTGGGACAAACTAACTTTTTTTAGCTTATTACAAATAAGTCCTTAAACCTGTCTCTATTATCATTTCTACCCCATGTGACTTTGCTAAAAGCCATTTTTCAACAGTATAAACTATAAAAATTCACTCAAATTAATTCATTGATACATCAAGTAATTGAAGCAATTGACTAGCTAACATTATTAATGTTTTGTACCAATCAAATCAGGCACTGTGCGGCCATCAGAAAGTCTTCTAGTGGGGCGTTTGAAGTAGGTTTCTCCATAAGGAAAGGTTGTTGCAATTCCTAATTTTCTGCTGTCATTTTGATACTGGTTGTTGCCAGGATCAAACAAGGAGTCTCCAAACACAAACAAGGCTTTACGTGTTGCAGCTCCAGGATTTGACTGAGCATGGCAACTAATTGGATTAAGAAGAATACTTACAAGTAAGAGTATCCCTCAACAAAAGAATCTCAGACTTGCCATTGAATCCTGTTGTAGTTTGCAAATAAGAACCATTAATCAATATTTGGTGGTGGTGGTCACATGGCAATTGCTTTTAAAATGGTGAGTGGAGAGTGTGAATATAAGAAGCAAAGTTTGACTTATGGATACTGAATGTGGGCTTGGGGGCCATGCCACTTTAACCGGTAGTGGGCACTGTTTGATGTGTTAAGCTTTTTGTTTCTTACAAACAAGTAGAATTTGGGTTATTTTGTAAATTATTTGAAGAATCATCTTTATGGTATGGTTCAAAGGCCACTTAAAACTTTTAAATAACTGATTTCTCCTCTATTTGTGTTTGGCTAATGAGAAATATATATTTGTCCTCATCTTCAATATTAAGATGGGAATAGGTCCTCATTGTTGGAGTTGTCGATCACTTCAACAATAAGGGGTAACGCCTTTGGGCCTGTAGACAGTTTGGGCTTTTTTTATGAAGAGCCGTTGAACGATTTTTCTAAGTTATTATTTCATTATTGGGTTTGGGTTTAGGAATATGAATCCTTGTAATATTATGTTTTAGTCTTTTAAACTCAGTATATAAATATTCTTTTTTCTTAGTATGAGTGTGATAGCAAATTGTAGGGCAAATAACATTTATTGTAAAGGAAAAAGGTGAGGCAGTATTACGTAGCCTGTTAATTGGGTGAACCAAGGTAAATCGCGTGTATTTCTTCTTTCTCTTTACTATTTGTGGTTTGTGTGTGTTTACTGTTTTTTTGGTTTCGTATTAATCTAGATTGTTTCATTCATGAGCCATTCAAGTAAATTATTTAAGAAAAATAATTAATGTTTGATCGACACCACAAGTTTTGGATAAGATATTGTCTACTTTTGACACACAATATTTTCGTACTTCTGTCTTTATATACTCATCCAAGAATTAATTTGTGTCAAGTTAACTTAACAACGTGAGTATGTTAAATATTTTCTGTGGTCTATGAGATACGAACATTAAACGTACTATCGTTCATCGTCATCAATGTAATTGCTGACTTATCATATTGATCGTTAATATATTATAATAATACTAGATGTACAAACAAATCTTACAAAGATTTGTATACAAACTGACATGACAAAATAAATGGAAATGAAAATTTGAAATGATGCTCAGAGATTTTTTTGAAGTTACTGAAATGAAAACTAGAAATTAACAACAATCTCAAGATCAGATATCCCGAGAGAACTTTCTCACACAAGTCCTAGACCTATGGCTATGGACTAGAAATCCCAATCACCTTATTTTTCTGGGAACATGACATATTACATGTATGCATCCCCTTTATTTAATTAGAGCTCTCCGAGCCTCCATATATTTAGAGATTAAACAACATCTCGACATTGTAACAAGGTCCTGTGACATGTTTTGGTCCTTTCCACATCAGCTGTGCTAGTTGAAAGTTGGCTCTATCAGTATGATGACCCCCATCAAAATACACATACTCATTCACATCTTCGCACAAATTGAAAGGTTCCTGAGTACTACTGCAATTTTCTCCATTCAGTGCTCCACTGCCACAGCATCCAACATTTCCTACCTTGAAGCCTGAAGGAAGATCAACAAAAAACCATAATCAATTTAATAATAATCTTGCCAATTAATTAAAGACGTACGATAAAAAAAAATGATTGATTGATGCATTGATAATTACCATGTTCTGTGGGATGAAGAGTTCTGTCACGAAGAGCATTGTAGTAATCAAATAATGCATATTTGAAACCAGGGTGTTTAAGCTCAAATTGCTCCAGGACAGTAGCTAGGAAACTGTTGTGCAATGTTGCCTGGCTCATGAATCTATCTACACAATCAACCTCTACATTATTGGTTCTTTGTCTGACATTTGGCATGCAACCCAAAGGTCCAACATTCTGGAACCCAATTTTCCTTACTCCTAGAGCATAAAATTCCTACAAAAATTGCAAAAATATATATAATTATATGTACATTAAGTTAATATATATATATTATTGAAGGGTTAGGATATATCTTACTTCGAGTGCAGCTGTATAATTACCCATCACCTGCCCTACAAGTTCAACCTGCTCGGAAAGAGTAGGATCTCTGTTCATGTTAAACCTCATGTAGTCGTTGCCTCCTATGCTGAACAAGAACACCGATCTGTGCAAAAGACTTTTGGCTTCCTCGTGGCCTAATATCTGTTCCAATTGTTTTACGACGGTCTTGAAATATTGTAATTGTACTCCAAGGTTAATCTGAAACATGTACAAAAGCATTTAAATATATATACATTACATGAAACACATTGAGGAAGAAGAAGAAGAGATTACCGCCGTCTCACTCTCGCCAAGAACACCTGCCCCGGCTGAAGCAAAGTTGATTCCATCAATAAATACACCTCCTTCCTCCAGGTATGGTACTGGTAGTCTCAATTTTGCATTAGTGGCTGCAGCCAGTAACCAAGTTCATATTTTAGAATATTATTATTACATTAATGTCTTCCCAAAGTAATTCTGATAACAGTAATTATTTATTCTGCATCCGTTTCTAACCAGCTAGCTAGCCTTATGTACATACCAATGAAGTCAGGGAGTAGACGGCCATCAGAGATTCTTCCAGTGGGCTTGTCAAAGAAGGTGATCCCGTAGGGCCAAAGAGTCCCCGTAGGAAACCTACCTTCATTTGCGGGAAGATACGGATTGTTGCCTGTGTCAAAGAGTGAATCTCCAAAGACAAACAAGAGCTTATGAGTTTTAATATCAGAAGATTCCGTCACGCTAGAAAGGGTTACATAAAATGTAACAATTACGTAGAGAACAAACTTGCTTCGACTTGCCATCACTAAATACACAACTCCACAATTACACACTTGTAGCTGTTTTCTTTGCTTTGAGCCTTCCCTCTTGCTCATATTTATAGTGGTATTGCTGTTAGATCTTTTTTCTTAAAAAAAGAAAAAAAAAATCTCTGCACCATTATCACGTGGTTTAATTTCTACATTTGGTTGCTAGCTAGGGTTTTATGGTGCCAGAAAGGATTACACATGTAAATAGTCAAGTAAGACACCATTTTTATTTTCTCAAGATGTCTCTATTTTATGAATTTGATTTATAAGTTTCATATAAATTGCAAAAAGAGTTCCCATTTTCATGTGCTTTTCCGATTATATATACGTTATCCTCTATATATACATACCATTGGTAGATGAACAACAAAATTAAATTCATTTAAATAAGTACAACCAAAACGAGATCACATGTATCTACAATGAATAATAAGATTTTTTTTTTCTCTGAATTGACATTTGCTTGATGGTGGACCACTGGTTCGTCTTTTGCATAAACTTCCAAGAATTAGAGTTAATATTGTCTCTGGATTATATGTATTTTGATTGGTGGTCCTGTATACATGTACAAATTTATCAATTCAATTTAAATTTTTGTTATAACTTAGCAAACTTTGTTATTTATTATTTTTTTTTTTATAATTGGAGTGTCCAAGTTAGCTTAAGTGTACTTTAACTAATCCTAAGGTTTCATTGAACACTATACAAGCCAAATGGACTAGGTAAGTCATAAATGTGGTAGGTGACTACTGTGTATATATACCGTTGGTAGATGAATAGCATGTTCAGATATTATGACTTGTTTTCCTATTTGTTCTAAAAATAGTGTATGTCTTTAAGAAAATTATTTAATAAAGAATACGATTATAAATAGGAATAGAATTATAAGTCATAGTAGAAATTAAAATATTAATCCTATTAGAAATAAAATGTCTCCTATACTACTAATAAATATAGGGGTGAGAATCAATTCAAGATTAGAAAACCAATTCAGAGAGTACAAATATTGGATGTAAGAGTTGTTAAACATGTAAAGTGTCTTAGAAACTAGGATTGTAAGATTGTTTCCGCTCTAAACACTAAGTTGAGCTCTGTTAATTATGTATTGGCTATAGTGGATTTCTCTTATTCGTGGATGTAGACGGGTTATATCAAACCACGTAAATATCGTGTCTTTTTGTATGATGTGACTTTATTCTTGCTTTATTAATCTCAAATGTATATTTCTCATTGCAAATCTCGTAGCACAAAAAAAATAAATTCATTTAAATAATTACTAAAACGAGATCATATGTATCTACTATATATGAATAATAAGAAAAAATCTTTGAATTCTCATTTGCTTGATTGTGGACCACTGGTTCATCTTTTGCATAAACATCCAAGAATCTCCTTGCGGTGGTCCTATATATAAGAACAAATTTATCAGTTGAATTTGAATTTTCTGTTGTAACCTAGCTAACTTTATTCCATTATCACATTTCTTCATAAATTATAATTACAAAAATACATTTGTAGAGAATTTTGGCTCGTTTTTCATACGATCATTGAATGAAGCAGTATAAGGTGATCTTAGATACGTATGGGTTTTAGAAACCACACAAAAATATGCTTCACAAGGAAGAGGTGAATCGACATATTTAATATAGGACCACTGCTTCGTTTTCACAGATTCAGACAATTAATCACAATTAATGTTTTTGGACTATATAGGTATTATTATTCATTAATAACACTCATTTTCCATGTGGTGGTACTATAACATGTTACAACCTAACTTTTTTTTTTTTTTTTTTTTTTTTTGGTAACTAGAATGTCTGGGCCAGTTTACGTGCACTTCAACTAATCTTCCGAATCCATCAAACATACTACAAGCCCAAAGAACTAAGTAAGCTACAATGTTATTGTGGTAGTGGCCCCAAGGTTTGAACCAAAAAACTCAAGGAAAGGAGAAAACCTTGACTGTCAAGCCAGCCTCTTAGGGTTTTAATAACTTAACTTTCTTCACCACTATAGATTGAAATTTTTATATTAAAAACAAAGAAATAATAATCATCAATACGTCTTTAGAGAATTTTAACTCGTTTTCTTGGTTAGTTTCCTTTTGAGTCGAAATGCATCTTTTTGTAAAGAACAAATAAAATTGATTTTGCATTAGCTTACCTGAATGGAGAAGAAAGGTTCGGCTTTCAAGTCAAACAGCAGCAAAACAAAAGCTAGTTTATGAGAGGAGGGAGTCCAACTGCATATATATATACACCATAACAGTCTACTAATTTGACGATATGGGACAAATTCAACTTCTAACGCTTGCAATATATTTATATTATTAAATCAAATTATAATTGTTGGAAACTATATAGAATAACATATACCCTAACATAATCCCAAGATCATAGTCACCATTGCAATCACATTTGTATATAAATGAACTACAACGAATTTACACAGCATAAATACCTCCTTTCCTTATCTCTGAAGCAACAAAGTAATCTGGAAGAAAACCACGAAGAATGTTTCTGTTTTCCAAATTCTAGAGAGAGAGAGCGTATTTTCCTTTTGAATATTTGAGAGTGACAGTGTGTAACCTTTTCTAAAAGGAAAAGTCTTCCTTTTATATGGGAACGGTTCGTGAGAAACTACCAAAGGCAGTTACCACTTCTCACACCCCTTCATCATGGGTGTATTTATCCAATAATAATAATCATCAATACGTCTTTAGAGAATTTTAACTCGTTTTCTTGGTTAGTTTCCTTTTGAGTCGAAATGCATCTTTTTGTAAAGAACAAATAAAATTGATTTTGCATTAGCTTACGTGAATAGAGAAGAAAGGTCCGGCTTTCAAGTCAAACAGCGGCAAAACAAAAGCTAGTTTATGAGAGGAGGGAGTCCAACTGCATATGTATATACACCATAACAGTCTACTAATTTGACGATGTGGGACAAATTCAACTTCTAACGCTTGCAATGTATTTATATTATTAAATCAAATTCACTTTGTGAATAGATATCTCATGTCTTACAATGAAAAAATACAAGAAAATTTGAAATGAGATAGAAAATGAACAGACTATAAATTTGAGTCGAGAATACAATTAGTACAAAGAATAGTTAATCTATGGTACTGATTCATTGAATCAAGTTCTATAACAAGATGTATTTCATTGTTAATCCAAACAAAATATGCTTCAAGAGGGAGTGATAATTTTGACATCTCTTTACTTTGATGTTGGAACTCTGTTTCCTTTTTTAAGAATTTCAAATTAAAAAGACTTGATTCATGCATTGAATGTCTTCACAAGGGTTGTCCTACATATGTCTACGAATTTATTGCTTGAATTTAACTGTTGTCATAACCTAACTTTCTTTAACATTATCCTCTATCTTTGATAAATTAAAATTAAAATAGACTAATCATCAATCCATCCATTAACATCTGACTTTCACCACCCGTGGCCAGCTGGGTGAGGTGATAGGGACTCTGAAGTGTATTACTCAAGAGGTATTGAGTTCAATTTCTTTCGGTAATAGGGGTGGTCATTGGAAGGTTTACCTAGTTGTTAACTTCTAGGCCTCGGGGGATTAGTTGAGGTATATGCAAAATAGTCTAGACACTTTCGGTCACCCAAAAAAAAAAAAAAAAAAAAAAAAAAAAAAAAATCAACTTTCATGACAAAATATCATCAATCTTTAATATGGTCCGAAGTAGACAATATATATAAGTACTATTGTTTATCCAGTTATATCCAATCTAATCTAATTTAGTACCACTTTTTTTCCTGCTGAGGGTGACCTAATAAATTAAGATAATCGATTTGAGTATAATGTGTGTCATTTTGATAAACTGTTCAACTTAAGAGCTTGAACTATGAAATAAGGATCACACATTAATATGAAGTTTAACATATACAAACAGGAGATCCTCCAAAACCTCTCATCTAATTGTCTAAGTTTGAATACTTGATACTTTATTCCCCATATTGCGCAAGGCTATCAATAGGCAAGACTCAACAACAAGCTCTCATGCAGGGACGTAGCCAGAATTTTTAGTCAGTGGGGTCAAAATATTAACTATAAACCGAAGTCCCAAATCTTATAACTTAGACTTATCAAACAATTTATGCTAACCCAATAAAATTCAACTTATAAACCCATAAAAACTCATCAAATCCAACTCTAAGTATCAAACAGTTAACATATATATCAAAATTGAACCAAATCCCCAAATCTCTACAACTTAGGGTTTCATCAATTCTTTAAACCCATTCAAAATTAACTCAATAACTAACCAAAATTTGTCAAACCCAACTTAAAAAAACAAATAATTAACCCATACCTCACACATAAACAAGATTAAATCAAAACTCACATCAAAATCTAGGAATTTAATCTTCCGATTTCAAACCCTATTGACATGTTAATGACTATACATGCCATATTTAGAAGATTTGGGATATTTGATATTGTCCAAGTATGGTAGCCCAGCTAGAATTATATTGTTGCCTTGTATGTATTGATTTGCATTTATTCGTTTTATTTGCTTTCCTTACATGTTACATTTACAATTGTATAAATTGTAACACTCTTTACATGAAATACAATATACACAAATTACTCAACTATCTTTTCTTGCTTGTATTCTCTCGGCATACTTTGCAACTAAGGTTGCTTCTCTTGCCTCTCTTATTCTTCTTGGAACTCTTCAGTAACTTTGCTACCTCTTTGTGCCACTCTAATACTAGATTCTTACATGGTATCAGAGTGGGTTTCCTAACCAACTCCTCTCCTTGTTGCATCTCTCTAATCCAACTCCTGTCCCTGCAAAACAAACTCTAGGATTAGTTCCCCAAAACCAAATGGATCCAAACCAGAAAACCATAACAACCCCAATTAGGCCTAACACACCAAATATGGGCTCTGATTTAGAAAATAGCCAAACTAACCCACACCAAACCAGCCAAACCAGGCCAAACACTTAAATAAGCCCAAATATGCAACCTAACCAAGTC